TCGCGACAGGACCGTTTTTATGCAGTCGCTCGAGTCCACCGCGCGGGGGAGAGGGGATTGTGTGTTGTATGTGTATGTATGTGTGCGGTGTCAAATGAGTGTGAGGTGGGTGGGTGGGCACGCCGTGTGTGTCTATGCCAAAATGTCGGAGGTGAGTAGTGTCTGGACAGCAGTCAGTCGCCTTCGGTCGCCGACCGAAACCATCACCAAGAACTTCCGTGAGATGCAGGCCGCAGATGCAGATAAGAGAAAGCAGCAGCAGCAGGAGGCAAGTTGGTCAAATGCCCGGTTCCGACAGTTGGGGTCGGAGGGGGAAGAGAAAAAAAAAACAAATACTGGAAGCGGACGAGCATGGCATGCAGGAAATATGTCTGTAATAGCTCATCAATTCTCTCCCCTTGGCTCACTTCGCCTCACCAAACTCCCTCGAATCTCACTCGTTTGCGGGCGAGAGTGCAGACCGAGACTCGTAAAGGTGTGTGTGTGCCATCGATACCTCCTTATCTAAAGCTAAAAAACTCCAGCCCAGTCCAGCCAAGACAGTCGGCTGGAATGTTGTCTCTCAACGCAACGCCAAACAGATGTGTGCCCTGTGCCTCTCGTCTCTGTCCGTCCACTGCCCTGCAGATCGCAGTGGTACACACAGACTGAAGGACCCCGTAAAAAGATATCAATGTCGTATGTAAGGTATATACGCAACACCTGTGCAGGTTATGCATGCATAGCAAAAATCAAAAGTTGATGATGTACAATCCGCAACGAGAACATGAGACCGCCTTCCCGCTCAAGGCAGTCCCCTCATGTTCCAATTATAAATCCGTCTCTCGTTTGTTTCTACTCCCGAGAAAACAAAGGGGCACGATTTGCGCCCAGGGCCGTAAGAGGTCCTTTCGGCTTGGTGCCGGACCACTCCGGTTGGTCACTCGCCTGCCACTTTGATGCTAGCCTTGCGCATCCGACCGCTCCGTCTCAACCCGGTTGTGTCTTCAGCTTCCCCGGAATCTTCGTCTGCGGCTCTCTGGCGCCTGTTTCCAATTCTGTACTTGGGCGTCGCCTTGCCACCGGCTTCCGACCCCGCGTCTTCCTCGCCTGCCTCTGAAGACGCTCCTGTGGTAGGTCTCTTTCGGCCGCGGATGCGCGCCTCGTCGTCGCGTCCCAGGAACCGATGGATGAGGCGGTGATCAAGAATGCGCTCCTCCTTATCGCGGGGTCCAGCTCTCTCCGTCTTTGGCCATATGTACCCGTAGAGCTTGGAATGCCTCTCGCAACGCGGACACGAGCTCTTGGTATAGTAGGCGTTCTGCTGCACAAAGGCCGTCTCGCAGTTCATGCAGCGTACCCAAGCTGTCTGCGGCTCAGAGAGCAGCAGCGGCGTTAGCGTGTAATCGCCGGGCGTTCGGGTTTTCGCGGGTGGTGTTGTCTCTTTGATGAAGGTGCGCCGTTGGTACTTGCGCTTCTTCAGGGGCGGTTGGTCAGCAGCCTCCATCGTCTCATCAACCACCGCACAGACTTTGATATTGTCCATGATCGGCGCAGGATTCTCTGTCGACGTCGGTGCTTCGACCTTCAAGCTCTGCACCGTCTCGGAGCTGCGAATGATCGGTGCGTCCTGCTCAATTGACGTCAAGGCCTCAGCAGTTGACGCTTCCTGCACGAAATGGCGGGGGCTTGTAAGCGGCTCTTTTGTTGACACCATTCTCTCCACCTGCATAATCTTCAAACTGTTTCTGCCAGAGATGCTAGCGTCTGACATTGCCACTCGTCTTGGGCTGATATTCTCACACATGGCGGCCGCGATGCTCATAACGGGCCTGGTCGTGGAGGAGACAGCGTCACTCGAAAACGCCATGGCTCTAGCGACTGACGTATCTCGCATAGAGGACGCGGATGGCGGCGGAGGAGGATCACACAAGGACGATATGGGTATCGATCTAGTCGTTGCGACGGAAGCTTCTCGTGTCGAACTAGACGTTTCGACCGATGCCGTGGAAGCCGTCTTCACCAGCCGTTGAGAAGAGAATGGCGCAGCCTGAGCCAAGACCTGCTCCGTCAACTCCTCACAATCCTCCTCCTTCACCAATTCCGCCTTTCGTGCCTGGCTCGGCTCCGGTGTATCCTTCTCCGGTTCTGTGATATCTGTGACCGAGCCGTCTTCGTTAGAGCCGCTCGTCAGAGACATGCTGCGCACAGACTCGGAGGCCGAGCTGTCTCTCGAGCTGACATGCTCGGTGGGGGCAGGTGCAGATTGTGTTGCGGAGAGCTTGCGCCTTTTTGACGGAGTGATGGGTGGTGTGACGAGCGAGTCCAATGATCGTTTCTTGTTCGGCGACAGCGCATCGGACATTGGCGAGTCGACCGCCAAGGAATCTCGCGCAGACTTTCCTCCCCTCAGTCGAGATTTGGAGACCCGTGGACGGATGTCGGGAGTAACGGAAGGGGTCCGGGATGAAGGACCGCTGCTGTCGTCTCTCCTCCGTCGGCGCAAAGAGTAGCCGTCCATCAGTGACTCCTCAATGCTCTTCTTAACCATCACTTGCCCCTCAGCAGGCGCCCAACCGTTGACACATTTGTTCTCGCAGGTTCTGCAGAGGCATTCGCAGTTGTCCTCTCCAAAGTAGTTCTCGGCGTACGTGACGGTAATTTCCTCTCCGGCCTCAATGTTCCTCGTCGCAATAATCTCGATGCCGGCTGTACCCGTAGTCATCAGCTTCGCATTGGCACCGCAATCGTGGTTCGCGAATCGCGCGGGGCCCATGAACAAGCTGGCGCATTTACTCCGTGAGGAGATAATGATGCTGAAGTCCTTCTTGCGGGCAGTCATTTCTCGCTCCTCTTCGGGAGAGATGTTGACCTGGGTTCCGGCAAGGTACTTGATGTTCTCGTTCCTCCTGATGAAGCGTCGAGCGGTGATGGCGGCCTCGTGCGACACGATGGTGTAGCGATTGGTGGAGTTGACTTCAAAAGGACAGTCGGGAAGGTAGACCTGGGTGTAGCGACGCATGTGGCGCTTGAAATCATCCTTGGCCTTGTCTGTCTTGAGGGCATTGAAGAACTTGCGAAAGCCATCGGTGGCTAGCAGTTTGCGCTCGGCGGCCTCGAGGTCTTTGTTGACGACAATCTCGGACTGAATGATTTGAGTGATTTCCTCCTCGCGGATTCCTCGGGACGGGTGGTAGCCATTGCGGTTCTTGGGGATTGTGGTCCAGTAGAATGCCTGTACAAAAGGTCAGCCTCATTACGCCAAAGCAGGATACGTGGCTGCGCCGCCCAGCAGGAGCGGAGGGGCTGCAGCGACGGAATCAAGGTCGTACATGGTCAACGAGGGCATCTGTCAGAAAGTCGTCGTAGGAGGCGAGTTGGGCCAAAGTAAGGGCTTGCTTCTGCTTCTTGGACGCAGCAGAGGGCGGCATCTTGAGGTCGTCGCAAAGTCAGTTCCAGCGCAATATGAAAGAAGGATTTGCGGCAGGAGCTGAAAAGGCTAAACGAGCGTCGGGGGGATCCAGGGACCAGCGTCAAAGTCGGCGTCGGCGGCGCACAGAGCACAGCGCAATGAGTGGACGAAGGGCCAAGGTCGACGTTGGGCTCCCTTCGACAGCCCACGCAAAGCAGAGCAGAGCGCACGAGGACGGGTTCGGGTCGATCGAATATCGTGAGCTGACGACGACAATACCTGGTGACAGAGTGGTGGACTGGGGTGAGGTGTTGTCGCAAGCAAGATTGGCCGCTAAAATCAGAAACGCAAGCGGGTGGTGGTTGTGGATGTGCGATGCCGGGAAGAAGGTTGTTGTCCCCAGGCCGGGAGAAGACGCACAGGTGCGCGGAGTGAGTCGAGGTACCGCTGCGTTAGGTAGGTAGGTAGGGTAGAGAGGTGGTCGAAAGGTCAGCTCAGGCCGGGTGTCGTCATATCTCTCGGGTTCAAAGGGGGCATAAACAAATCCCAATGTTGTGTTGGGTGGAGATTTGAGATTAATGCGCTGCACTGCGGTGCCGGGGTAAGATTGAAAGAGGTGCAGTCGGCAGCCCGCAACACGCAGATGCAGCAAAAACAAATAACGGCGACCGGGGGTGTTGCGGGTTGGGAAGGAGCGGAGATCAGGTAAGGGAATGGCTTCAACAACGACTGAACAAAGAACAGCGGCCAGAGATAGGACAGAGGAACGGCCTCCTCAATGAGACGGGCAATGCGTCCAGCAGCAGGTAATGCGTACGTGTGCTTGCTTGAGGAGGAGGAGAAGAGAGAGAAGGAAATGAGAAGCCGAGACACAGAGAGGTGATGAGAATGAGGTGAGGGTGAGGCTGGATGGATCTGAGTGTGGCAGTCGCCGTCCTTGATTCAGCCCCTTCTCTAGTCGTCGGGTAGTCGTCTTCTTCTTCGGTGTCGTCGTCGTTGTCTTTGTCGTCAGGCGGGTTTCGCTGCTATGTCCCTGTCTCCTGTACTGCGCTCCCCTTTCTTTGTGCGAATTAGTATTGTCAATGCCAAAACGCCAAGGTCAATGGCAGAGAGAGCCAGCCGGTGTGGTAAGGCAGGTACTTCCAGGTTCTTAGTTGGAAGGACCAGACTGGACTGGACTGGACAGATTCCAGGGGAGGAAGGAAGGATGGAACAGCAAAGGGAAACATTGGATTGCGCCTTACCGGGGTTGGCAGTGTCCTTTGCCCAATCAAATCCCGCAAACCCGAGTGGCTAGGCAATTATCGTCGACTGGCCCCACGCCGAACAGCTGAGACGTCAAAATAGTAGCACTGACCACCTTGGTTTGGAAGGAAGAGACGGGTTATGTCAGCCAATCAAGCTGCACCTCGCTACCCCATCCCGTCGCCGCAGCGCCCACGGTGCATCCCGCCGCAACCCCCGCCCATTGGCTACATCGGGATTACCTAACGCCGCTGTCCGGCCGCATTTTCAACTTTGCAGTCCACTTGATCGAGATAGCTTCAGGTGTAGCGACTGTTTGGGGAGATTTGGTCATCAGCGTCATACTCCAGATTCTGCCGCCAAGATGATTCAATTAAAGGTCTGTCTGAAGCTCCACGAATAACCACGGTAGGAACCATTACTGACATGCCCCAGACGATGCTTCAATGCATCGACAACTCGGGTGCCGCCCTTGTCGAGTGCGCCATGGTCGTCGGCCAGAAGCGACACGCCCGCATCGGTACGAGAAGTCCTTGCCCCCGCGTACGACGACCCGAACCCGAACGCTAACAGTTGCAAAGGCGACAGGATAGTTGTCGTTGTCCAGAAGCACCGCGGTGCCGGTGACGGTGGCATGGCTGGCTCTTCCGCCGCCAACAAGGTCAAGCGTGGTGACATGCGCCACGCCGTCGTCGTCCGCACCAAGCAGCAGTCCCTCCGCCCCGATGGCAGCATCATCCGCTTCGACGACAATGCCTGCGTCCTCATCAACAAGTCCGGTGACCCCGTCGGCTCCCGCATCAACGGTGTTGTCGGCGCCGAACTGAGAAAGAAGAAGTGGAGCAAGATTCTCTCCATGGCCCCCATGCACGCATAGACGAGTCGCGGTTGACAGGGGAAGCGGGAAGAGGTGTAGAAAGTTGTACATGTACAGGGAAAAAGGAGAGAATTGGGGTTGTACTATATGAATGCATGAGCCGGCGTTTCACGGGTTGGCTGTCGATACCAATCTCCATCTACCTACCATTCACAGTCACAAAATAAGTCGGCCGGGGAGAGTCACATGCCGAGAGAATACCACGTCCACAACTGGGACGCATCAATTTGGAAATTTGTACTATGAAAACACAAAGTCATGGCCCGAAGCCTTTTCCACCGCTAACGCCTTCCGACTCCGTAATATGCAAGACCACGTCCTCCTCTGTTCTAACCTTCGGGTATCATGAGGTTCGATCCATCACTGGAAAATCTGACCACAATCGCAGCAAACATAGAACAATTTCTGGGTCTCTGTTAGCCAATGTCCGTCATTGAGCAAGAGAATGGTATCGGCTTACCATGCCAGTCTCGGCGCTACGCTGTTGAGACTGAAAGAAGACGGCCTCGGCTCCCTTACAGACGGGGCATTCCTTGTTCGATCGTGGAAGCTAGATCCGGAGAGATGCAAGGTCAGCCAGCTGTTCACAAAGGAGGTCTCGAATCCAAAAGGAGCAGAATCCATTGCAACAGCCAACACAGCACCATCCAGGCCCGGGGCATCCAGAAATAGTTTGTATGTTCAGGTGAAGCGTCCATCACTGGTTGACGGCGAGTTGGAAGGTAGGCCATGAGACGTGCTGCGCGGCGGGGGCGGGGTTTTGATGGTGGTGAAGGTTGATGTTGGCAAAGTCTTGGTTGATAGCGTCGGTCGGCTCCTTCTCCTCGTCGTATTCATCCATGGCATCGTCTTCGGCCATCTCCATCAAGTCGTCCCAGGTGATTTCCATGTTCTTGTTCTTGGGGGTGTTGGGCTGGGAGACGACCGAGACGTCGAACTCGTCCGAGGGGTTGCCACAGCCAGTGCACAGGATGGCGTGGCCGCACTCGATGCAGACAACAGGGGCAAGGACAGGCTGGGAGTGACCTACAGTAGGGTCTGAGCCGACATCCTGGGTAACTCCGGCAGTCTCGCCGGCGGCGTTGTTCATAACGTTGCGGAAGACGCAGGTAGACTGGGCCTCTTCGGTGAATTGGCAGGTACGGCAGGTGAACTGCAGCTTATGGGTCTCCTCGTCCTCCTTTGGGTACAGCATGTTGGAGCACTCGGAGCAGAAGCGGAAGGTAATTTGCTCGAGCTTCTTATTGCTCGTGTCCTCCTGGGAGGTCGTCGACATGGGGGTGGCCATCGTGTCGGTCGGGTAGAATGTGTGTTTCTGGTCTGAGAGATTTATCGCGAAAAAGGTCGCGGAAGGTTTTTGTATCGTCGATCGATCGTCGGCTGCGGAGGGCGCGTCGAAGGTGTTGTTGGTGAGAGTGATGCGCGGTTGAAGGTGAAGCGAGGATGGGAAAAAGTAAAGAGGGCGGTGGTAGTAGGGAAAGGCGGTAGCGCACGGGCGGTCTAAAATCGGGTGCCTTCCGTCTGGGGCGATGGTGGGGCCGGCGGTCAGCCAGATGCTTTCGCTGAGTCGCGGCTTCACCGAGGTGAGGCCCGGTGTACAACTCTTATGCTGGCAGGCAGCAGGAGGTGGAAAGAATACCAGTGGTCGATATTGAGTTTATGATTAGACGTTTTGCAACAGGCAAACAAGGCAGATTTAGGACTCCTTTCATTATTATTAGTCTTCAAGCGTTGCTTTTGAGGACTCATCGCAGAACTGTCTTACAGCAATGGCGGCTGACCTAGTTGGTCTCCTGGCTTGGAGGCTGAGCTCACATGGACAAGAATAGATGGATGAATCACTTGCACATGAATCACTTCGGCGTAACACCAGTCCGTCTTCCTCTGTGGCAATGTTACTACTGTCATAAGGCAAACACCTCAGACGAGATGGTGTTGCACTGAATGAGGCTGAAGAAGGTGAGGCAAGGCAACATTCTTAAACATGAGTAAGCTCGTCTAACATTTTCTGTTGATTTTGGCCTCGGAGCATCACGATATTGTACAGCCTGTCCGGGTCGCTGCTGGGAAGGCCCATTCTGAATACCATCAATATCAAGCAGCTGACGAGTGTTGAAGAAACCTGAAATCTCATCTGATCAGATGGATCGGCGTTCCTGGGACAGGGAACCCTGAGTTGACTGACAAGTGACAATCCAACAGGTACTTCAACCAAGCTGACTAAAGGTCGACGAATAAAGCGGGTATTGCACCAATGGGGACACAAGTTTCAGTCAGTGGCCAAACCCCTCCTTCCAGCGACTTCTTCCCAGGAGGAAACACCTGAACTTCTAGGAACCCCGCCCCCTGTTCTGTGGTCACCAGGTGTCCCCGTGGCCCCCCCTCCTTCCCCACAGCCCCCAAGCACCGCGTTGGTTGGCCAGCTGTCCCAGCCTGGCAGCCTGCTGGAGGCTGTCCCCTTCGCTATTTTTTTCCCAACCGTCACCCCGGCAGCGGCACGTCATCCTCCAGCTTCAGGTCCCTCAGTTGCTGGACATCCATCCGTTGCAGCAAGCCCAGCACACAGGGCAACACCACCACACTCCAGCTGTACCCCCTCGTGTTCCTTGCTCTCAACTCCATCGCAACCTTTTCTTCTTCTCTTCTTCTTCCTCCCCTTCTCCCCAGTTCCAGTCTCGTCCACGTATTCCACCCCCATCGTACTTCGTCCCGTCGTTCCTTGTTCGCGACAGCTCCCCGCCAGCTTCGAATCCTGCCGCATCGCATCTCCGCAGTAAACACCCGTCGCAACGCAACCATGGTAAGCAGCGCCGTCCCCGCAGACATGCCCTTCTCCGCATCTGCCTCCTCTTACTTCTCCGCTGCTCGACCATTGCCTCTCCAGACGCCGCCTTCAGCCTCAAGCTCAGCTCGGCTGTGGTCGCAATAGTCTTTGTCGTATACCATGCCGCCTTGTTGAGCTGGACAGGAACATGGCCGAGCCTAGATGCATGCTCCCAAGACAGTGCCATTCCAACAGTCGACTGACATAACAATGCTCCCAGGCTGACACCGGTCTCCCTCCTGGCTGGGAAGTGCGACACTCCAACTCCAAGAACCTCCCCTACTACTTCAATGCCGCCGACAAAGTCTCCCGCTGGGAACCTCCCGCAGGCACCGACACGGACAAGTTGAAGCACTACATGGCTACCCACCACAGCGCCGGCCTCGGCGCCAGGCCTCAAACTGTTCCCGTTCCCGAAGGCAAGATTCGCGCCGCCCATCTGCTCGTCAAGCACAAGGGCAGCCGCCGTCCATCAAGCTGGAGAGAGGCAGAAATCACCCGCAGCAAGGAAGACGCTCTCGAGATTCTCAAGGCCCACGAGGACAAGATCAAGTCCGGCTCTACCACCCTCGGCGAGCTCGCCCTGACCGAGTCTGACTGCAGCAGCGCCCGTAAGAGGGGCGATCTGGGTTACTTCGGCAAGGGTGACATGCAAAAGGAGTTTGAGGATGCTGCTTTTGGTCTCAACCCTGGCGAAATTAGTGGTATCGTCGAGACCGCAAGCGGACTGCATTTGATTGAGAGGTACAACTACTGGCTTCACGGCATCTCGCAGGAGAAAATAGCTAACAGTGAATCGCAGACTGGAGTAGATCGTGATGACAAGAGCTGATAGCATTGAGAGTATGCATTCGGGGGCGAAAAGTTGAAACCGCGCTGTCGATACGGCTCTGTTGGGCCGGAGCGAGTCCATTTGACTTTCGCATGTTACTTGCTGATACAGGCATGACTGTACACCAAAAAATACCACGCGCATTTGACTGTTTGAACGATTACAGATGCCTCCCTTGTCTATCTGCTGCTGATGCTGAAAGTATGCTATGCTACGTAACGAGGAAGCCGCCCATAATGTTATGAATCATCAACCCTAAACCCAATCTGCAGAAACCACTGACTACCTCCTAGCTAGCCAGGCGAAGCAGGATGCCCGTGAAGGGGTCAACAGCGGTGAAAACGACAGTCATTATGCCAAAGACTGTCATGGAGAGCGCGGCGTAAGGTGCAGCCCTGTTCTTCCTCTCATAGAGATACGAGACCCCCATAGCCGCCCCGTTAATGCCAATCGCCGTCCCCGCGGCAATGGTAAGCGCGCTGTCCTTCGCTTCCTCTCTGGCCTCCTCCTTCTCCTGGCCCTCAAGTCCAAGTTTTCGCAAAAGAAAGGGGTACATGAGCTGTCCAAGAATACCGTTGCTGACCACCAATGCCGCGTTCACGACCTGGTTTCCCTCGAGTACCTCCATCGCCGGCCTGGCGAGCGCAAGCGTTGTGCTCCTCGCCGCGAATGCAAACGCCTCGGGGCCGTTGAGGCCTACCGCCCTACCCAACAACACGCACACGAACACGTTCAAGCCTGCCACGCCGGCCGACATGAGCACAACTGAAAAGCCCGCGCGGGACCATATCTGCCGCCGGCACTCATACAGCTTGAAGCCCCAGACGACGATGCCACATTCAAGGATCGAGAGTGCGGCATCGCCTGCGCCGAACCAGTCGCGTTGATCGGGCCGGAGGGACCACCCGGTCGTCTTGGCGGTCCAGATGTCGGAAAGGGGCGTGCCGCCACTGAATGCAGCGAGGACGGTGTCGGCAGGTGTGTGCGTCGCGGCGGCCTTGGCGCGGGTGTATGCTGTCATGGCGAGGGTTGTGAGGAGAACGGGGTTGAGCAGTGTCGTGGCCGTGGTTTTGATGCCTGGAGAGGCGGCGAGAAGATGGCCGCGTCCGAAGGTGCGCTGGGCTCTGGTGCTGGATATCCAGGTGAGCCAGAGCATGCAGCCGTCCAGGATGCGGTCGTCGCCAGTCGATCGTGAGACGGGGATACCCACAGCCACGAGAAAGAAGATGGCTAGGATGATGGGATAGCACTCCCTGGTCCATGCGATCCAGGCAGGGGGTTGTCGAGTCGAGGCCTGGCTGCTCTCGGAGAGTCTTCTCTGCGGCTCGTCGACGCCACCGAGGGGTGGAGGGATCGGGGTGGGGCATTCGCTGTCGGTGAAGTAGGCCGAGACGGTCCTCGAGTCCGGCGCCAAGCCCGCTTCCTTATCGGTGTGGTATCCGGTCATCGTGGTGCCGTTCAACGTTGTGCTCTCCGACGGTCTGCGGCTGTTGGTCTGCGGAGGGAGCTCGAGGCGTGGTGTGGGGGTGTCGATGCGCCAGGGCTGCTCGACATCGACCTCGGTCTTCTTGGAAACCCAGGTCTTGGGGGATGGCGCTCTCGCGATGCCCGTCAAGACCGCCCAAGAGAGAATGAATGCCAGAGTCCAGAAGATGACATTCGTGGTGGCTACGTTGGTTAGCGTTTGTGAAAAGCACGACGGACAAGGAGACCTACCGAAGTTGGCGATGACCCGTCCGATGCCTGCGCCTCCGAGAAGATCCTGTCGGCTGATGGTGACAATGGGTACTGGAAACGCGACGCCGAGGTTGTTGTTGATGAAGTCAATCTGGCTGCGTTAGTGAATAGCTCACAGCCGACGAGAATGGCGCAACTTACCTTGGACTTGATGTTTCGATGATAGAACCCGTCCGCGCCGGGGCATACGGTCTGCAGGACAACCATTGCCGCGAAGACCAAGGCCATGCCCGCGATGGACGACAGGAACTGCAACCCAACCGGCCTGAGGACCAGAGACAAACTCCATACCAGCAGCTCGCTGGCCAGATAAATGACGCCAACCCAGGCGACAACACCAACTCGTCTCACAACCGACCGCCAGCAACTCCCCCATATGAAGCTGATGTCGTCGTCGTCACCTCTTCTGAACATTCGCGATGGCAAACGGGGAGCATGGAACGAAGCGAGGGCATTGTCTGCAAAATGTCTGAGACAGGAGAAGACCGGGAAGGACAGGCGCTCGCGGCGAGCAGGGAGGTTTGTGACCATTTTGAGGGAAACGACAGGCAGGGTGTCACAAGGCCCGAATGATATAATGTCGACGCAGAGCGATCAGCAGTAGCAGCAGCAGCAGCAACAGCAGAAGCACCCGTGGGGGGAAACGAGAGTGAGAGACAGAGATGGAGAGACACACGGAACACAAGGTGCTGCTCTTCCCGCGGTGTCACCAACGGCGGTATATATCCCATGGACCAGAGTTGAGAGGCGGAAACGGGAGGACTTGGTGACATTTGAGCTTTGACACGTCACGGTGGGCTTGGGATGCCGGTGGCCATGTTGGTTAGGAAGGAGATGGGATGGAAGATGGGGTCTGGTGAGGAGGCGTGGTGTGCGGTGAATGGGGCACAAACGGGCAAAGCCTACAAGGTGAGTTTTCCATCAGGACAGTGGCAGTGGCGAGCTCAGATGGGAGCAAGCATACGAGGTTTCCGTGATGGAGCCGTTCTGTGGTTCGGAAGAAGGCCGAGGGCGGATCTACCCTTGGTCTGCAGAGTGCGGGTTGATCGATGCTGCTCCCTATGGAACGATGCGCAAGATATCAGATATCAAAGACTGTGCGAACCCATTATCTGTTTGACTGCAAAGTAGGAACAGAAGAAGAGGCATCCTTCCGGACCGTGCCGGGTTGTCTCGTATGTGTGTGTGTGTGTGTGTGTCCAGTGTGCTTGTCCAAATCGGGCAACATCCCTTCTGCAGCGTTCATCTCGCACAGGACCCCAAGGACCCCAATGAAGGGGGTGGCTAACGTGGAGAGTGGCATATGTCAAAAATGATGTGTAGAGAGAAACCCCAAACGTGCTCTATCGAGATGCTGCCGTCTGATGCTGCTGCCGCTGCATGGCTGCACCCAACCTGATGGGCGGACGGCACTGCGGCCCCTGCTGCAAACGAGCACCAAAATAGACGAATGCTTTGTTGGCGGAAGCTGAGCCGCGGAGCAGAAAGAAGATAAGTGCAGACGTCTTGAAATGCACGATGCCGCGGGCGGTCAGGCCATCGGTTGGCAGTGGGGGTCCTGTCGGGGTGAATTGCGCGGGTGGCTGCTGATGGAGAGTGAGAGTGGTGGTGGTGTTGTTGATCTGAGCCGTGTAGGTGCTTGCCAGTGGCAGAAGTGGCAGCAGCTGTTAGGCACCTCATCATTGGTCCGCTGCTGTTGGGCGCCGGTTTGGGGTCCGTGCAGACGGGAAGCCGTTGAAGTGCGACTTGTCGTTGGTCGGCTCGAGCTGCCGGTGGGGGCCTTTCCTCTTTTCGGCTTAGTCAGATTTAAAAGTGGATCCCTTCCATTCAGTTGGTGGTTGCTTCACTCTGCTTGGCCGACCGAGTTTCTGTTTGCACTTCACAACCAACTCAACGGCGCCTCTCACTTGTCTCCCGCCATATCCTCACGGCTCTTGATCTGATATCATCCCGTCCAAGTTTGCATTTCCCGTATCCGCTGTCTCTTTCATCCGATATCTGACTTCCCGAAAAACCGCCTCTCGAATTGACCCTAAGACCCCAAGCCAAGGAGACAGCAACCCGAGCCGAGAGGTGACGGACGGACAGACCTCAAGCTGAGTCTCCCGGCCCCCGTCACACGGCGACGGCGGTGTGTGCATCCTGAGCCGTCGTGGCTGGCTACACCCAACGGGAGCCATTACTTGGAAGCACATCGACTTCTCTGGATCGTGCATCAATCCACAAACTCAACCGTTTCCCGTCATTGGACAGCTGCATCCCGTGTGCTCGCTACAGCCGTCCCTTGAGGAAACGAGCCATCATCCCCTACTACTATCCCAAGTCACAGCCTGAAGCCATTCGCATCCTTGGCCACAACAACTCAGACATCAAGGCACGGCCCGCCCTCCGTTCTTCTCGGAACTTTCACCACGTGCCGCCATCACAACCTCCAAGAAGTTGCTCATTTTGGATACGACCTGCCTAGCGCCGTCTTCCATTACACTTGTCGCATCTATAGGCCACTATTGTCACCATGGATGTCTCCACCTTGGAAAGCATCGCACGCAGATATGGCATGGCCATTGACAGACACACTCTGCAGGCAGCCCTCGACGATCCGGAGCACGGCACCGCTTTCACAGAGTGGGCGCGTCTTCACCTCGGCCCCGACAACCTCCTGTCCAAAGACGAGCTGTCGCTGTAAGTATCCTGCCAAACCCGTCGCACAAGGCAACCGTGTCTCACGGAATGAGAGTATAGGTACTCGACTCTCGACAAATACGGCCAGGTCGACAAGCTCGTGGCTTCTCAGGACCTCGCTGCCGTCCAGGCCCTCAGCGAGCACGAGATTCAGAAAGCCATCGACGAACTCAACCGCTCCACTGCCGCCATAGTGAAGCAGACTGAGACCCTGAAGCAACAGCAAGACGCGCTGGCCAAACTTGTCAAGAGCAATGCCAAGGTCCAGGAGGCCCGCTCCGATCTCGTTTATCAACGGACCCAGAAGCATGATTCTCAGCGAAGAAAGATGATGACTTCGGTGAGTTTGTCTCCCTCCTATACCCCGACCGCCGCTGACCCAACCCAGGTTGAAGAGCTGTCCCAGACCCTAGAGTACAGGGCTTCTGATCTCGAACAGCAGGGCAAGGTCTCGGGTAGCGGTCTGCAGCAAACGCTCGACAGTCTGCTCCACTCCGACGATAAGCTTCTCCTCAGTCTGCGCAAGCTGGGGCTGGAGCTGGAGACAGAGGATCCGGAGGACCGCGAGAATGTTGAGAAGCTCCGGGAGATCTGCATGAGGTCTATTTCTCGTACCTGCTCCTCTGAGACATTTCACTGACCATGTCGCAGACTCATAAAGTACACGGTTGAAACGATGCGTACAAAGCTTGACCGCCTCTACCTCGAGACGCTCAGCTCCGTTCACCGCGGGGAGACCACTCCCAACCCCTCTGACGATGTCAAGTCTCTGCAGGATGAGCTGGAGTCCCTCTATTCCGAAATCCTTCCTGTCGCCCAGATGTCCGTCGAGCAACAGTACCTGGAGCCTGCTCTGAAATCACTGTCGAACAAGAACGGACAGTCGCTTGGCCGATCGGCTGCAGCCGTTGTCTACGTAAGTCTTCTGAAATCTCGCCGTACATCCGAAAGTATGCATCTGACCGTACTAGATCGACGAGTGCCTCGACTACCTGCTCGACCACATCGAGCGCCTCTCTGCTCGTATCGAAACTTTTCAATCGCATCAGACTGCCACGACTAATCTTATCTCCACGGCTCGTTCTGAGTTGTCCGTTCCTGCGGCCACGCCCAAAAAGAAGACCCCCACCCAGGACCTGGCTTCACCCGTCCGCCGCCGCAACACCGGCCCCGGCTCCCCGATCCGCCAACGCTCCAATACCGGTAACCGCCGTTTCTCCGCTGGCTTGGACGAGCCACCTATCGAGGCGCTCCTTCGCTCCTTGGCTATCGCTTTCCCCGAGGACGCGGATGGCCCTACCCAGATTGCTCTTCTGTCCGGGACCCTGGCCGAAAGACAGGCCAAGGCGCGCGATGTGGCTCGCAATGCACAAGAGTCGCTCGAGAGCACAGCTGCAGCACAACTTGCTGACGCTAAGCTCGTCGTGCAGCTTTTGCGCGATAGTCTGCTGGCAGAAAGTCCCTTTGGAGATGTTAGATTGGTAGACGAAGGCATTGAGGCGTCTATTGCGGTGTTGGGACAAGAGGTGGAGAAGGTCAAGGAGCGCGTGGAGAGGGTTGATGCAGGAAAGGCACGGCAGAGAAGCGAGAGGAGAAGAGAGATTCTCGAGCGGTGGGGTCGATAGAGTCGAGCCTGGCGAGACGTGGGTGTCCAAGAAATTCCTAGTTGATTGTGCCGACAGCGTGAAATCACCTGGCAACAAGAAAACTTTGACATCCACATTCTGGTGCGCATGCCCAGAAAGAGAAGTCGATATGTTCAGAAGAAAATTTATGCAAAATATACACAGCAAGAAGCAAACGAATGGAGGTCCACCCCAATCATACCACAACCTCAACTTCCTCAAGTCAACTTGACAGTGACGACACCCTTGGACGGGACCGAGACCGACACTCCCGAACCTGACACGGTAGCCTGCGTCGTATCGAATTTGTGATCATTGTCCGTAACCCACGCGCTCGCAGCCTTGGGCGTAAACCCCTTGAGCGACACGCTCGCAGCCTTAGCGGCGCTGCCGTTGTTCGTAAACACCACCACGACCGACCCGTCCGTATTCTGCACCGCGGCCGTCAGCACGTCGGACGCCACCACGCCGGACGTCGCCAGCCTTTGCGCGCCGGGGCGGATATGCCGCGACCACATCGCAAACGCCCAGAAGCTGGCCGACGGCATCGCGGTCTTGCCGTCCTGCGTGTCGACGAGGTGGGAGTCGGACTGCAGCTGCTTCAGCTCGAAGCCCTCCCAATAGAGGTACGCCGACAGCTTGGCGTTGATGATGCCGACGGCGATCTTGTTGGCCCAGGTCATGCCCTCGGTGGCGCCGCCGTTCTTGTACCAGGTCAGGTCGAAGGGGTTCGTGATGCCGGACTCGGTGACTCAGGAGGCGAGCTTAGTGTCGAGGGCCGTGTTGGCGTCGCCCGAGTAAGTGTGCGAGGTGATGAGGCCGAGGTAAGACTCCATGCCGCCGGCGACGAGGGCGTTTGTGTACTTGACGGTCGATCCCCAGCCGACGGCGTCGCAGCAAGTGAGTTTGGTGCCGAGACCGGCGGCCTGGACGGCCTTGGAGAGCGTGGGGATGAAGGAGATGGCTTCCTGGGCGTTGAAGCTGATTTGCATCTGGGAGTAGCTAGGGCTGTGTGCGGTGATTAGCCTATAGGCTTAGACAAGGGGGGAAAGGATGTTCTTACGAGAAGTCAGGCTCGTTGAGGAAGCCGAGATGGGTCACGTTGAGGCCGGCTTGTTGGTAGTACTTGACGTACTGAACCAGGAAATCCGCATATGCCTGTCGCCAGTCGCCGGAGGAGCAGGTATGACCTGTGGTTCCGCAGAGATACCTGCAGGAGTATCAGCCAAATGCGCTCAAGTTGATACATGCCGTAAGTTCCGGAACTGACCCGGCTGTGGCTTCGTTGCCGCTGGTCTTCATGAACCCGGGGGCACTCCAGGCGTCGGCGTAAATCTGCTTCACGCCATAACTGACAGCCTGCTTCGTGAACCAGACCTGGCCGCTGTCATCGTCGTCCCAGGAGTAAGTCGGCTTGCCAGAAGGCGATCCGGGACTCGTGGGGAGGATACTATCACCCTTGCCACCGGAGCCGATACGGTTGCGGATGATGCTGAACCCGGCACCCTTGTCGGTACTGAAGAGCAAATCAAGCGCCTCCTTCTGAAGAGCTGAAGGAGCGTTCTGGAACTCTTTGGCACGGCCAAAAGCCTGAGAGAAGCCGAAGCCGTCAATCTTTTGCAGCTTGGAGCTCGTGTCCACGGTGATCTGGCCGCGGGCGATGACGCCCAGGCCAGCCACGGCGATGAGCGCACTCAAAAGGACCATTGTATTGGTCAGATATGTACAGAAAACAATGAACGAATGCTTAAACGAATGACGGTGGAAGTGGAACGGCCCTGCATGCCAAGAATCGCCGTGGGAAGTGCCAAGTCTGGGGAAGTAATATACACAGGGCCTCAAAAACTCCCGAAGATTGCGAACCCCTCGCGTCCCCTCGCCGACAATAGCAATTGGTGGAGATCCATCTTGATTATCTTACTCAATTGAGTCAATGGACGTGGACGGTTATGGAGTGGTTTTTTGCCGCAAACCCGGAATCAAGGAGTTGTGTTAATATATTTAATCTATTCGGGGTGGTCTAGTTATGCTTATTAGAGCAGGGGGGGGGGGGGGGGCGCAAGTTCAAAAAGGGGAGAAAGGGGGATGAAAAAGCCCAATTGGCGCGGATATCAGTGCCGTGCGCTCCGTTACATAGTCTGATGTCACACGGGCTCAACTGCCGTCCGATGAATGCAGGAATCGATCTGAATTGTTCTGGAACGGGTGCCGGAGGCTCGGGGGCCGCTCTTCGGTGCCATCCGATCTTCTCGCGTTGGACCCGAGTGAGGGCCCCGGTCGCCTCCCGGGTAAAGTGAGGTAACAGTGAGGCTACCGGACTCAGCCATGTTGTTTATCCGCAACAAACATCTTTTTCGCGCACAAATGAGACGCTCGCGTCTCTCGTATTCTATCCGCTACGCGATGCAACTATTCGCATTCGGACCACGTGGAGGCGGCATGGCGGCAGATCTTGGTTTTGGATCGCCGGTCTTCCGTCCTGCAAGCTGCACATGAACGGGTTTATATATACTTGGTGATCCCTTCACAGGACCAAACTTTGGATCAGTAGGGATTCAGCCTCATTCTTTCCTCGTCTGATCTTTTCTGCTCTCATAATCCGACATCATGAAGTTCCAAAACACCGTCGCTTTCCTTGCCTCCGCCATGGGCATCGCCGCCCAGTGCGACCTCCCATCCACCTACTCCTGGACCTCGACCGGCTCCCTCGCGAACCCCAAGTCCGGCTGGGTCGCTCTCAAGGACTTCACCGCGGTCCCTTACAACGGACAGCACCTCGTGTATGCCACGACGCACGATACGGGGAGCACGTGGGGATCCATGAACTTCGGCACCTTCTCGGACTGGTCCCAGATGGCCTCGGCCTCCCAGAACGCCATGTCCCAGTCTGTCGTCGCCCCGACGCTCTTCTTCTTCCGCCCCAAGAACATCTGGATCATGGCCTACCAGTGGGGTCCCACGGCCTTCTCCTACAAGACCGCAAGCGACCCCACCATCGCCAACGGCTGGTCCGCCGCCCAGCCCCTCTTCTCCGGCACCATCTCCGGCTCCAGCACCGGCCCCATCGACCAGACCGTCATCGGCGACAGCACCAACATGTACCTCTTCTTCGCCGGCGATAACGGCAAGATCTACCGCGCCAGCATGCCCATCGGCAACTTCCCCGGCAACTTCGGCTCCGCCTCCACCGTCGTGCTGAGCGACACCTCCAACAACCTCTTCGAGGCCGTCCAGGTCTACACCGTCAAGGGCATGAACAAGTACCTCATGATCGTCGAGGCCATCGGCGCCAACGGCCGCTACTTCCGCTCCTTCACCGCCACCAGTCTCGGCGGCAGCTGGACCCCGCAGGCCGCGACCGAGAGCAACCCCTTCGCCGGCAAGGCGAACAGCGGCGCGACCTGGACTAACGACATCAGCCACGGCGACCTGATCAGGAGCGACCCCGACCAGACCATGACCGTTGACGCGTGCAACCTGCAGCTGTTGTACCAGGGCCGCTCGCCTTCGTCCAGCGGTGACTACGGCCTGCTGCCGTACAGGCCCGGTGTCTTGACGCTTAAGAAGTGAGCATGTTGATGTGAGGGGATAGAATAGCTCGCCCGGTTATGGTGCCGAAGATAGGCTGGTCCAATTCCGTGGGAGAATATGAGAGTTTTGAGGGTGTTGGGAAGGGGTATTTCTTCCTGCTGTAAGGGACTTGGTGTTCTCTTCACTTACATATTTATCATACTTGCACATACAATCCACTGAGGAAACGGATTTGCTTGACCTCACAAGTTCACACTCACATGCCTTCACGTCTAATCTGACTGAATGAAAATTTAGAAGAACGCAGGCACAAAATCACAGTGCGCTGTCAGTCTGATTCGACTTTAGGCCGTCATTAACGGTAAAGCAACAGTAAGGTTTCCTCTAACTCCACGGCAAAGTGCAATGCCAAGATCATAAGAGGGATGCCTCCTGTAAAGTTGCCCGGGCTGCAAATTGCGGGGGCGGAGACGCTGGTGAACACGGGAAGTTGGAAGCGCTGGCTTGGCACGTCACGGTAATTACACGCAGCACTGTGGGGTGAGCTTGTTGACGATCGAGATCGGGAAGATGAAAAGACTTGATTGTGGACATATCAGGCATACAGTAAACACCGGTGATGTTGGCCATATTTCGAATGAGTCTCTTGAAGCTTTAGATCCTAGGACCATGAGTTTTATTACTCTACCTGACTTCAAGCCAACTTAGCGAAGTACTCAATCGCCCCTACATACGATCGTGCCCATCATTGTTCCTGCCGTCCTCGTCTCTGCCGTCCTCGTCTCTGTCGTCCTCGTCTCTGTCGTCCTCGTCTCTGTCGTCTTTATGGTCGTCTATGTCCCTATCCGCCCGGACAGTTAGAGATACTCGTCCAAGTTAAAAGCTCAGGATCAATTGGGATTTGGATACATCAAGTAGTCTGGATAAATCAAGTGGTATTGGTATCGAGGTAAGGAGCATGCTAGACTTATAGTCCAATACGTAGTCAAACGTGGAAGGTAATCCAACCACGCATTATTACGTCAGGCCTAAGGCCTGGCGTCAAGAAAGTAAAGCTCATCAGATCATCCTCCGCCTGGGTATATCGATCTCTCGGCCCCTCATGGTCACAGACGAATCACCGAAGGTGCGTGGCGATGCTCGTGCTCGACTGACGAGTATCTACTCGCTCTTCTTCTCACCGTCAGAGCTGTTCTTCGTCTCGACGACATTCTCGGCGCGGCGGGACTTCTCAAAAGTGTAGAGAGGCTCCAGCGTGGCCTTGCGGTCGAAGAAGACCCAGCGCCTGAAGAAGTATGGGATGGCTTTCTGCACCTGGTAGCGGGCGAAGCGGCTGGTCGGCAGAGCGAAGACCCAGTCAAGCTCCTCGAGAGTGTGCTGCTTGGTCTCGGGCACCCAGAAGAGGATCATGACGAAAGCCACGACGTTGAAGCCGGCGTATCTAGACACAGTTAGTGATTCGATCTTACAAAGCCAACCGCACTTGCTACAACTCACAGTCCGAACGCGCCAACGACGCCAAGACGCTTGAGGATAAATGGGAAGGTCATTCCCAGAATGGCAGCCCAGAACAGGCAGGTGGCCACGGCGAAGCCCATACCCATCTCACGGTGAGACAGAGGGTAGACCTCCTACAAGAATGTCAGTAATTGGATCTCCCTGAGTCAATTGAGCAGGATGGCACGGAACACTACTGTATGTGAAAGGCACGGGCCCTTCGCCAGGAGAGTAAAAGGCGCCAAATAGGTATACGAAGAGCGATACGAGTGCAGTGCGGGTTGTACCGGCTTCAATGAGCGTGCAGAGGCCGGCCGCTAAGAGGGTCCACGTCATCTGCGGGAATGTGAACAGCAGAAGAGATCTTCGTCCGAAGGTGTCGATGGTCCAAAAGGCCGGGAAGGCAAAGAGCCAGTTGACCATGCCGAAGCCGAAGGAGCCGAGAAGCGCCTCGAAGTCGCCCATGTTTGCATCTTTGAAGATGGTAGTTGAGTAGAAGGCGATAATGTTAATGCCTGACTAATCAGTATACAGTACAGATATGACCGGGTGAGGTTCAACAGGGCAATGATTAAGGGGTGATGGTTGGCGGGTGAGATTTAACCTACCGCACATCTGTTGAGCAATCATCACGGTAAAGGCAGCCAAGTTCGCGCGACGGACACGAGGGATGGTGAAGAGCTGTGTGAAGCGAGTCGCGTAGTTGTTCTTCCTGAGAACCTGTCCCTCAAGCTGCAGCTGCGCGTGAATGGAGTACATATCACGAGCACATTGAATCGGGTGGTTTCGAAGCTGAATCATGGCCTTCCACGCGGCGACGTAGCGGCCCTTCTTCATGAGCCAACGGGGAGACTCGGGGCAGAAGTAGATCATGACGAGGAGAGGAACGGCGGGGAGGAACGGGGCACCTGCACAAATCGTCGTCAGTCAAAGTCAGTTTCATGGACGAGTTGCGGCCGGACTTACCAAGCATAAGACGCCAGTTGTACTTGGCGTAGTAGACGGCAAGGTTGAAGGCGGTACCCAGAGCGATGCCTGTCTACCGAGTTAGCTCTGAGCGCATGTACTTTGACCGAATTACGAACCAAAAGCAGTCCACATTTGCCAACTCATGACCAGGGCACCTGATACCATGTGAGCATAATGTTTCTGAGCGATAGTGATGTGTTGTATTGACCTCGAATGCTTGGAGGCGAGTTTTCAGCAGCGTAAATGGGGACGGTGGACGCCTTGGCTCCCATTCCGATACCCATGAGAAGACGGTTGACGAACTGCTGCTGCCAATTGTGACTAAGGGCCGAGCCGATGAGAGGCCAGATGCAGAAGTGAGCAGAGAAGAAGATGACACCGCGACGACCGAAGTAGTGGTTGAGAGGATCAGAAAGCCAGCAGCCAAGCAGACTGTAGAGTGATTAGTAGTGTAACCCGGAAGTATGGGCGGTCTTGCGAATACGTACGCGCTTCCGAGATAAGGGCCGGCGTTGACAAGACCTAGGATGAGGGTATCCCGAGTGCTGTCGGAGCCGATGCCATACTCTGTAGGGAAGAAAATGTTGGCGCCGTTCGTGCCGGTCTGGTCCCATCCCTGGACGGCAGCACCGATAGAGCAAGTGGCAATGGTCAAGAACAGCTTCGTTGGCATGCGCCACTTGTGCTCGACCTCGTCGCGCAACGCCTGGATTTCGGCTTCGTCTAAAGCCTCGGTGCCTCCAATGGTCGCATAGTTATCAGGGTCCTGTGCTACCAGGGCACCCTTACGGAAGAGACCAATTTCACTCTGGAGACCCTTCTCTTCACAGAAGGCCTCGACATCGTGCATAAGTTGTTCGTAACCAATTCCTTCAAGAGGATTCTTGATCCTTCGTAGCTGTGAGCCATGGCTGGTTGTTAGGATTGCGAGCTTGCTGACTTACTTGGCCTCGACGTTGCGGCTCAGGTCAACGGGGTCGATGTGGTGGGCACGTTCCTCATAATGCCCGATGGCATCGACAGTCTTGCTGCTGAGGGGTCGAAGTCAGATGGAAGTCAAGCTTGTACTGGCCGTTGAGGTGCTTACTCGTGAGGCTGGATGTCACCCATGATGGCGATATAGGCGATGTAAGTCGCGGCTCTCTTGGCAGAAACTCAAGTATCGCGCGTTCAGGTTGAAAGTATTACTGGATATCTTGTGTAGCTTCTCAACCTAATGGAAGCACGGCGCACCTGCAGAGCAAAACAAAACATGACCCAAGCAAGGGGCCTGGGCTGGGGAAGCCATGGATCTTTATAGCACACAGCTCAACCCCATGGGCACAGACGAAAGCAGCCGAAGATCCTCTACCAGAGACTCGAGAAGCTGTCGTCTTGGCAGCTCCGCACACACCACCCACAAGCTTTGAGTATTGCGAGTTGGAACCGCGCAGCGCGAAGAAACTCGTCAAGATGGACGGGTTTGCCAAGTCCTGGCCCATGCTGCCTGCCCCACGCCAGGACGGGAAATACGCCTGCGAGGCTGCTCTTGGAAATGTTTTTGTTACTTTTGGAACGAGGTCTTAGCTGTCAGATCCTGTCGCGGACGAGCTTGGCCATGTGGACGTTGCTTTTCCCTGTTGCTGCGGCCAGCTCCGACGAGGGCTGGAATTGTGCCGGGGCCAACGACTTTACGAGGGCTGGGTTCCAGAATAACACGCGCAAGGGAGACAATATCTGGAGTTTGTGTTGTGCGGGATACATGTCGAGTACTCTGTACATTTTGCCCTGGTGACACATGCGCCGGTCCCTTGTTCATGTCGCGTCTTGGGTCTTGAGGATGTAACGTGTAGAGAGGTTTGGCGCGAGCTGAGTCGTTCGTCCAGTGACACCCGTCCCGCAACGCCGAGAACTGATCGTGAGAGCCAAGTGCTTGGCACATTCATTGGCTTTGTCCGCAGCAGTACGCCACCGCCTACACAGTGATAGAGTGAGAGAGACGAAGAACACCAAGCAGGCACAAACGCCCAAGCTCGATCGTCAAGGCTTCGCTTGCCCACAAAGTCCACAAGTCCACCGCCGAGGACGCTATGGGGCACCAGCCATAATGCTTGAGTTGAGCTTGAACTGACTTGACGTTTCTTGGAATGCACGTGAACATCGCGTGTCCATTTTTGCAGCGAGCTTTCGAGCGGCCCGTCGACCGACAGTGCTCAATGAACAGAAGCGGTATTGTGCGTCCGGCTGCCTCAAGCCCATGCCCCCATGCCCGGCAGCATCCCCGTCTCCCGGACGCCGTCGTCTTTTCTAGCCATAAGGCTTGTCCTACGTCATTTCGAGAGGGAAGTGGGAGGGCACTCTGCAAACCAAGACCCACGGCAATCAAAAGCTGGCATTGGCTGGGAGGCAGGTCCGTCGATTGTCTGCCTCACCCTCTCTGGGAAAAGCTAGAGGAAAGTCGTACTCATCGGACCGACATCAGGCGGACTGCCGAGACTCAGGCGCCTGAATAAGCTGCAGCTTTGCGGGCGAGGGAGCCACGGGGAGCGGAGGGTGGCCGGGGTTACGGGGGGTGGCGGTCGGGGATGGTTGCGGGGTAGGCGACCTTCGTTTTGCTTGGAAGTTGGGCTACTGCAGAAATGGCATTGGAAGGATTCGACACCCGACTCGCTCCCGTATCGTATTGGACGGGAACAGAGAGCTGAATGGAGCAGCCGGTGGGCCGTGAAAGCGCTAACATTGAGACTGTACCAAACGGTGCTGCCGCTGTTGGGCCCGTAGGTAAACACCGAAAAGTTGGGCGCCGTATGGAGCGGGCTTTGAGCGACGCATCTCCAACAGTGCGGGCTGTTCACCGAAAGAAGGCGTTGGTTCGACAGACGGGACCCCATCCCAAGAATGCTGGGCCGGGATACGGCAGTTTCGATGGGCTGGGCGGCAGTGGGGATAATTCGTACCGCACCCAAGTAGTCTCCGTTGTGTACGACTGCTTGCTCACAGAAAAGGATTCATGTAAAATCATGGTCTCCTTGGTCCGTACCACGGGATAACTCCGACGTGTGTTGCGCTGTTGATATTGACTGGTTGAAGCCTGCAAGTGCAGGCGACAGCGCAGTGCTTGGGGACGAAGCCTAAGCTCTCATCGATCGACGTGGAGGTCGCCTTCGCAGGTGAATTAAAATATGACCAATTTGAACGGTGAATGATAGTAGAGACAGCGACAGTAGAGTGTCTTCTTCCGGACGTAGCCTTTTGTGCCTAGATGACATCCTGAAGACACAGCAGTCGTGCATTTCGATCTGTTAGTCGTTGCTCCAGAGGGAGGAAGAGCACAGCCAACACGGGTTGCATGGCGCATTGCGGTCAGGCGACCGTTCTGGCCAAGGTCCGTCAACTCTGTCGATTTGGTTGTTGCTGCAGGGACAAGTTCGCTTCCAAGGGTGCCATCACATCATTTCCTTTCTTGGGTGCGTTGGTGTCGCGTCGTCAGGTTGAATGCACTTTTCCTGCGCAGCGGTCTTGGTGAATCTTGGCCTCTCCCGGACGGCGGCCAGTCGCGCAAACGGCTGTTCAGCAAGCAAGTAGAAGCGCTTCGATGAGTGCCCGATGGCCTTCACGGCACGCATTGCGGGCAGTACCTGGCCCTGCAAGACCTGGATACCCTAGAATGATAAACCAAAGCCAGGGAGGAAACTTGACTCGGATTGATTGAGCGGTGGTTTGGCTGAGCCTCGACATGGGCCGCACTGGACGGCAGGCCCAGTAATTCCCCTTGGGGTCGGTTTGTGGGATGACAGCCAAGTTGGGGAACTGATATTAGACGTTGGAGACAAACGCACTTTGTGGTGGAGTAATGCAACCTGACGCCGGCAAATCAGACCTCAGTCGCATGCTAGGATATTGAACGAAGATTCTGGCGATCCTAGATGGTCGGTCCTCGAGACTTACAAGCTGCTGCTCCGCCATCCTCCTTCTGTGCCGCCTGAGACTTGCTGGGATTGACTGCAGGCGTGGTTGACGGTAGTGGCATCTGGAGGATTCTTCCGCATGAGACAAGACCCTTTGGGAGCTTGGGACAAGACGGCACATTGTCGAGCTTGGCTGCAAGGGCAATTCTGGCCATTTCAAATGTTTTCAGGTAACAAGTTGCGTGAGGTCTGGGTTGATGATCCTGCTTCCTTGATGGAGGGAGGATCGCACTGGTTGGCGGGCTTGATTGAGATGGATTGGCCGTGCCAGAGTGATGCTGTCCCACGCCTTCTTCAGGGACACAATCGGCCAGGCCGAGTCTTGGTCAGAAACAGGCGTCAGCGGCAGTGACTTGGCATGACTGGAGAGCCTCGTTCGAGTTGTTACTCCAGATGGACGGCTGGCGATGTTTTGGAGGCTCTTTCAGGCCACGCCCTTCGACCCCCGTGGGAGTGTCATTCAGTGGACCTGATGCATGACGGTGGATGTGCAACAGACCATTGTCGTCGTCGTCTTGACTTTTAGCCGCGTCCAAGTGGTGGTACGAGGTGGTAAGCGCGAGAGGAAATAGAAACGGCCCAGGAACGGGGATAACAGTAGGATTGTGGACTTTGGTGGAAGTCTAGACCTCTGGGGATGACGATTGTAAATTGGGGTCGTCGAGTTGGAGTTTGGGGAATCCTCGTGGCAGGTGCAAGCATCGTGACACTACATTTGGCAGTGGGTGGCTCTGAGCGATGCACGGGCCATTGGGACCGCATTACATAAGACGGACACATTTAACCCGACGCTTTGCCGTCATCCGAGAACTGCATGGCTTTCATTGGCTGAGAGAGTCAATAAGTGGATATGAAGGGGCATACTGTGTGATCCCGCTCTCAGAGCTGGCGATTGCACTGTAGCTTCAGCAGTGGTGCCGCTGGTCTGGGAAGGTCCAAGGAACGAGCTTCCTTATCCGAGCAGTCTTGGTGCTGTGATTCGTTATCGTAGCTATCTCGTCCCGCTGAGAGTGCGCTTTAGCTCGGCTTACAGTGCTGGCGCAACGCAGCAAACGTCTTCGATACGCCATCTGATCTAACGTAACGGCGCTGCCCCTCTTTCCCCGTGCGACTCGACCCGGACGACAGAGACTTGATGTTGGCTAGAACATCACATCGTGCCGCCTCCCGCACGTTTTGCTCCTCCTTCACCACTGTTCCTGCAGCAGCCCCGATCAGCATTGGCCGAAACCGAAACCAACACCTCTCTACAGATCCGTCTAGACCTCTTGGCAGACCTTCTAGAGCTCCAGCACCGTCGACGACGAGGCGCATCGCATCATCCTTGAGACCGGCGCGCTTCTTCTCCACCACCTCTGCCACAAACATGGCTCAAGACTACGAGACTGTCCTCAAGGGCAAGTACCCGGCAAAGGCTCACGCTCTGCGCGTCGCCGATGAGGTCAAGTCCAAGGTTCCCGGTGCCACCGGCGTCCTCTACGTTGAGGGTCGCATGACCAAGATGATCGAGGACAACGACGAGCCTGAACCCTTTAGGTACCCCCTGCTCCCGAGCCCCAAGACCCTCTGGCCAATGGTCTAACACCCTTCAAAGACAGCGCCGCTACTTCTACTACCTGACCGGCTGCCCCCTCGCCGACTGTCACTACGTCTTCGACCTCGAGTCTTCCGAGTCCACCCTGTTCATCCCTCCCATCGACCCCGACAGCGTTATCTGGTCCGGCCTTCCCGTCAGCGCTGCCGAAGCCAAGGAGTTGTACGACGTCGACCATGTAAAGTACACCACCAACGTCAATGCCGAGCTTGTGCGCCTCGGCAAGGGCAACAAGACCGTCTTCGCGATTGAAGGTCAGGTCTTGGATAGCATCACCTTCCTCGAGTTCGAGGGCAAGAACTTTAGTGTCCTTAAGAACGCCATCGAGACGTGCCGTGTGGTCAAGGACGACTTCGAGGTTGCTCTCACCAGAAAGGCCAACGCTGTGTCTACCATTGCCCACCACGCTGTCGTTGAGAAGGTCAAGAAGGCCAAGAACGAGAGTGAGCTGTATGCTACCTTCCTGTATCACAGCATCTCCAATGGTGCCACCAACCAGGCCTACCATGGTATATTTGCTGCAGGTCGAGCTGCCGCCACACTGCATTACGTAGCCAACGATGCTCCCCTGGCGGGCAAGCAGAATCTCCTCTTGGATGCTGGTATGGAATGGAACTGCTACGCCTCTGACATTGTAAGTCTTTGCCAGCCACCGTGTCGTGCCCAGAGACCGTCTTAACAAGCTGTAGACACGTACTTTCCCCATCTCTGGCAAGTTCAGCAAGGAGTCCCGTCAGATCTACGACATCGTGTTGAAGATGCAGCTTGACACCACCGCAGCTCTGAAGGAGGGTGTCGTCTGGGACGATATCCACCTGATGGCCCACAAGATTGCCATTGATGGCCTCCATTCCGTTGGCATCCTGAAGGGCGATAAGGAGGAGATTCTCAAGAACAGGACCAGCGTCGCCTTCTTCCCCCACGGCCTGGGACACTACCTCGGAATGGATACCCACGACGTTGGCGGCAACCCCAACTACGCTGATACCGACCCCATGTTCCGTTACCTGCGTGTCAGAGGCAAGCTGCCTGCCGGTAGCATCGTCACCGTCGAGCCTGGCATCTACTTCTGCAACTTCATTATCGAGCCCTACCTCAAGGACCCCGTCCACTCCAAGTACATTGACACTGCCGTACTAGAGAAGTACTGGGATGTTGGTGGCGTGAGGTATGCAACACCCAACCATTCCCAACCGTGGCGATGCTAATCTCTACAGAATCGAGGACAACATCTTGATCACTGCGACGGGCAGCGAAAACTTGACCCCTACCATCAAGGACCCGGATGAGTTGGAGAAGATCATCCAGGCGAGCTGAAGAACATAGTTAAAGCCAATGCACAAATCAAGCTAGCAATTAATCAACGCGCTCAACGCCTTCGCTGATGAGATGATGCCTCGTCCCACTACGCCTTTTCCACTAACGCCATGAGACTGAAACCGATGTTGTCTCCTCCTTGTGCGATGAATTGACGCACAACGTCCAGCGACTTTTGACCAAGATCAACCCGTTGCTCTTCGTCCGGCACGCCCCTATCCACGGGGCCCTTGCGATCACCGTCCAGTTCGTACAGATGGCCGGTATCCGGTGATTTCACGAAGCTGATGTAATGGAAGTCTACCTCATCTTCAGCACTCGACGGCGCAGCTGTCTCGCCCTTGATGGCGATCGAAGAATAGGCGTTCTCCAGCTCGGTTGAAGCTTCCAGTGCCATGGCAGCTTGGGCGGGGTCCATCGGTGCCGTGATAGACAGCAGATTGTCTAGCAACGATCCCGGCCCTGCTTTGCATTAGTTCTCGTTCACTTTCTAGGGAGCTTCAGCAGCTTACTGAGAAAGTCTTTTGCGCGGCCGTTTGCCAATGCGTGCAGAATGGCATAGAGCCCGCAGGCGTTGTTGATAGTCTGCTTAAACCACATGGCGTCTTCGTCTTCTTCGTTGTGCTCCACCATCCAATCCTGGGCGCCGGCTTCCTCTGCCGTCAATCGCGCCTCGAAGGTGGGGGTCGTGGGGAAGATGAGGACGAGAGCCAGAATCTTGTCTGGAAGCAGCGCGGGGTCGTCCAAGGTGAAGATATCCTCAAACTGGAGCGATGGAGGCGCACCGAGAAGGCTGATGAGTTCGTTGAATACTTCGGGATTCGACTCGAGGGGGATAAAGGCCTTGTTGTAAGTCGGCGGCATGGTGAGAACTCCGGCGGGGTTGATGCAGCTGTCGACGGACAGGACGGTGAGAAAGGAAGCGAGAAGGGGACCTGATTTCATGAATCTGAAAGAACACAGCTCGAAAAATGCTGGTGAGGTCGAAACCGGTGAGAAATGTTTGAATAGAAATTGATGATTCAGTGAGACCATGAGGTGGGTAGTTGGGGTTGACAAAGCAGGAAAGGTTGCTGACTGAGCATGAAAACACACTTGCGGATTCACTCCTCCAGTGAAAGCCTGTCGTTGCCTCTGATTATCTCTACCACTTCTGTTCTTCATCCAAGTATACGTCTGGATTTTCACAAGTACATTGTAGATAAAGCCGCGCGGACACAGTAAACTGAGGCGGTCTTGCCCGTCAAACGATGAGAATGACCTTGAATACACTTGAATGTGTCGTAGAGGCTCCGGTATCCTTGTTCGGGGTACAGAAAGCTTGATCGCAGCGCGGCGCTACCTTACCAACCCGGACAGCCAAGACATGGCGGGGCTTCTCGCTGGAGTCTCCGGCGCTCACTCGTTCCACTTTGTCCAACACCCTATTCTCACATGTCTTGCACGGATCGAAACAATGAAAGAGGCTGAGGCAATGTCAGTCGGTTTCCAGTGTTCAAGTAAAAACCCTTCAAACCTCACCTGGCGAAACCACACATGGCCGCCGGCCGCCGACGGCTCGGAGCGGCATGGCTGAACCCCACACGAGGTCCCCGCATCGCCCCTCGGCCGCTCCATGCGACAGATAAGATAACACAGCAGAAAGATGGAGGGGTTATGGTGGTCATCCTGCCCCCCCTCCGGCACACTTCTCCCCGCCAGCGCAGATACTTGCGCACGCTATCACCCCCCAAGTGAGCTAGTTTTCATGCGTTGGCGTGCGGTAGGGTAGTGCAAAGCGGTGGGGGCGATCGGTGGTGGCCGGCCGGAGGGCACGCCGTCCATCTGCTTCCCGCCGGCTGGGCGTTTTGAAAAGTGGTCTTGTGAACTCCAAATTTCAACCTCAGCTCTCCCTCCTTCTTCTCCTCACTCATCCTTTTCTGGAGTCTCATCCTCGAGAGCCCCCATCTTGTGTGATTCGACACCGTAGACCAGTCAGTCACCATGGCGCGCTTCCGCGTGCCCTCCCTCCCCATCCCGCCGTTCCTCCACGGCATCCCCGCCCCGACGATCCGCATAATCGCCCTCCTCGTGTCCATCAACATCGCCATCTGGATCGTGGCCGGCATCATCCTGCACTTCCACCCCTCCCTTATCTCCCCCGCGGCCCTCTCCTACCTGCTCGGCCTGCGCCACGCCCTCGATGCCGACCACATCTCCGCCATCGACCTCATGACCCGCCGCCTGATCGCCTCGGGCCAGCGCCCCGTCACCGTCGGCACCTTCTTCTCGCTAGGCCACAGCACCATCGTGATTGCGACGTGCGTCGTTGTTGCTGCGACGAGCGGCGCGCTGAGGGACCGGTTTGACGGGTTCACGCGCGTGGGCAACATCATCGGCACGAGCGTCAGCGCTGCGTTCCTGTTGCTGCTTTGCGCTGGCAACGGCTGGGTTTTGTATAAGCTCATCCGCAGGCTGAGGGTTGTGCTGGAGCAGGAGAGGAGGAGGGCGCTTACTGGAGAGGTGGTTGAGGAGGAGGACGAGGAGGCGGCGACCAATCTGAAATTGGAGGGCGAGGGGTTCCTAGCGAATGTGTTCCGCAAGGTATTTAGGGTTGTTGATCGGCCGTGGAAGATGTTTCCCCTGGGTATCTTGTTTGGCCTCGGCTTTGACACGAGTTCGGAGATTGCAATTTTGGGGCTGAGTAGCGTGCATGGAGCGCAGGGTACGAGCATCTGGCTGATTCTCATCTTTCCCGTGCTTTTTACTGGTAAGTCCTGACTATTGCAGACGTTGAAGGGTAACTGCTGACGAGGATGACAGCTGGCATGTGTCTCCTCGACACCACCGACGGCGCGCTCATGATGGCACTCTACACGTCCAAGGCGTTTTCGAGAGACAGGGTCGCGATTTTGTACTACTCCATCGTGCTCACCGGCATCACGGTGTTTGTCTCAGCTTTCATCGGCATCATCCAGGTCCTCTCCCTCATCGCGAACGTGGCCGAGCCCGAGGGAAGTTTCTGGGACGGAGTGGACGCTATCGGTGAGCACTTTGACATCATCGGTGGCAGCATCTGCGGGCTGTTCGTGGTTGTTGGGCTTGGATCAGTGCTAGTGTACCGTCCGTGGAGGGCGAGGATGGACCGCAAGAATCAGGAGAGGGCCATCTTGGTACCCGCCGAGGAGGAGGCTCTGGAACCGGCGGAGGGGCCGAGTTATGGTGCTGTTACGACGCAAGAGCCCGCTTCCAAGAAGGATGCTGAGGCGAGCGAGAGGGATTTGCGACTAATACAGTAGATGGCAGACACACGATGCAGGGTAGACATCACTGAGATATAAATCAGATAGACTTTGTGTTTGGTGGAAGGAAGATGGCACATTATTTGCGGACCGAGAACATGCTTTCTCCTCAGCCAGGCACATACCCCTTGGCGTCTTTTGACGACTTGGGACGGTTGATATGCTCGTAGTGTATCCCGAAGCCAATGTCATCAGCTCTTTTGAACGCTAATTTATTTTCGCTGTCTGTTGTTTGGCAATCTTCCAAAATCTGATGCATGAATGATCGTTTACAAAAGAGAGCCAATGAATCTTCCCGCTATCCCGATAAACACCTCAAACAACTTGCTCATGATGATCTTGAATGTGTTCATACCGCTCGTCGTGATGTTGTCAGTCTCGTCTTATGCGTTTCTGCTCGCAGAAGGGTTAGGGTGACCAAGATGCACCAGGCCACGAGATTGAGCCTCGTTGGTTTTGATTTGCGCGGCTCTCTGCTGCTCGCATTCCCGCCGCTTGTGCAATAAGCCGCTCACCATGGCCCGATGGAGCCCTTTTCAGGCAGTCGCGGGTGGCTGGTAGCGGCCAGTCAAAGGAACAGTCGAAGGATTAGGTGAGGAGACAGGCGAAGACACAGGCGAAGTGACTGGCGAAGAAACAGACGAAGGGCCAGTTGAAGGCCCAGACGAGGGGTCAGACGAGTGGCTAGACGAGGAGCCAGACAAGGGGCCAGCCGAAGGGGAAGAGCTGGAGCGAATTGCGACGTTTCTCCTTTCTTTGAATGAGTTAGCCGCGGTACACACATACTCTCTCTCTTTCTCTCTTCCCCATACAAGGGCACATACTATCGGTCTCGGGGTCCAATAACTCCCCGGTTACAGACGCATCATCTGTCGTCTGCTGGTCGGATGAAGAGGGAGGTGTGACCGTCTCCTTTCCTTTCTCCTTCTCCTTCTTGGAGTTTGCAGAGGCCTCGTGGTTCGCATCCTGCTCTCCACCGTGAACAGGGTTCGATGACGCCACGGAAGAGTTCAATGTGGCCCTGTTCTTGTCGGCAGACAGAGCGTACAACTGCCTACCAACTTTTGCAGCCATCTCCTCCCTTCTTCTTTGGTTTGCTGCCTTGATGGCCTCGATAGCCGCCGCTCGAATCTCTTTGCTAAACATGATGATTTGAAAACAGCTTACGCCGCCAAGATGCTGTATCAAGATGCGGCGATCATGGTCCCCCAAAGGAAGAATCTACAGCATGTTTTGGGCAGATGCGAGGCAGATATAGCCCATTGAGAGCTACTCCGGTAGATCCATCTGTGAAGAACCGTCATGGTTGACCACTTGCATACAAAACTTTGGCATCGTATCTCCGATCACATGGACGGCGGGCATACAGCCAGGGTTTGATGACCATACCATGGAACAGGCGAGGTTAACGATGGCCGACCAAAGGTATGGGGGATAAAGTTCCATCTTCGACTGGCTGGCCCAACAGATTTGTTCACAAAGGTGCTGGAAAGAAGCAAAATCTTAGGACTTGGATAGGCAGTATAACATGACCCTTCTGTCAACATGATCTTTAGAGATAAGTTCATTAGGTAGCTATGGTCCCGTCCCTATAGTAGTAGTTTGTCTTATGAAAAAAGCTGGCGGCTTTGACTGCTACCTAGGTCGCGACGAGTACCCCTATAGGCCATAGTAACGAGTTCTAATCAACACGTGGAAAAAGTCGTTCAATCAATATTC